CCGCCGGAGCCCCCGCGCTGCCCCGCCGTCCCAGGAGACAGGAAGCGACCGAGCCGGTCCCGCTTCATGGCGGCGGCCGCGGCTACAGCCCGGGCCCGGCGCTCCGCCCCGCTAAGTCCCGCTGGGCACGGCTCGGCTCGGCTCGGCTCGGCTCGGCCCCGCTCGGCTCCACTCGACCCTATTCGACCCAGCTCGGCTCCACTCGGCTCAGCTCGGCCCCGCTCTGTTGGTTGGGCCGCTAGGCCGGGGTACGTCCCGCTCGGCCCAGAGCCTCGCGTCAGCTCAGCTGGACTGCGCTCGCTCGTTTCCGCTCGACTCCGCCGTTGGGCGCCGTTGGGCCCCGTTCGGCTCCCTGGAAACGGGGCGGAGCAAGAAGGGGTGGGCGGGGCGCGAAGGGAAGGGCGAGGAGAGGGGGAGAGGGGGGCAGGGGCGCAGTGAAGGCAGCGAGGGGCGACGCGGCAAGGCCCAGACGTTTGGCATGTCACAAACGTGGGATGTGGGTGCCGACTGTTGCACTTACGCGCTCGCATCTACTTCGCGAGGCTACTTAAGACCGCCGCCGCCCCTTCAGCAACGGGAGCTCTGGGGTAGCCGTGCTGGGGCTGGGGCCGCCGGAAGTGCTGCCGCGCCGGCCCCGCCCCTTCCTGCGGTCCAGGGCTCGGGCGGTGCCGGCTCCCGCGCAGGCTGCGTTCCGGCCTCGGGGCCGTCTGTCCCGCCCTCAGCCGCCGCCGCCGCTGCCGCCGCCGCAGCCACAGCCTCCCCTGCCCGGCGCCATGGCCGCTGCGGCCGGGGACGGCGCGGTGAAGCCGCTGCAGTGTGCCATGAAGCTGGCCAACGGGGCCATCGAGCTGGATACCGGCAACCGGCCCCGGGTGAGGCGACCCAAAACGAGGCGGGGGCGGTCGCCGCGGCGGTTCCAGGCACCCCCTACCTGCAGCCTGCCCGGTGGGCGTGAGCGAGGGCGGGGCCCGGGGGTGGGTGCCGTCCAGGACCCCTCCGGCGTTTCCCGGGGCGCTGGGCTCGGGTGTCTGCCTGTGACCTTGGACAGCTCCCAGTCCTCTCCCGCCGTGTTTTCCCGTCGTCGCAGAGTAGGAATTAGAGCCAAGGTTTTATCTGTAAAGGGGATTCAAGAGGGTTGAAGCAGCACTCCAAAATATATCTGGCAAGAAATCCCATGTGTAACGTGTATTTTTCTGAGAAGACACTGTAGATTTAATCGGATTCCCCAAAGGGACGGAACCCTGAAAGGGCTCATTCGTGATGCGTCTGCGCAGGGTAGTATGGCTTGTTACTGAGAATGGGTGGGTGTGTTATTCCGAAAGGTGGCAGCCAAGTGGAAAAGCAGGCTGAGCCACACTGGACTGTCCAAGGAGGGGAGGAAGCTGCCTATGTCCAGGAAAAGCATCCGGGTCCCTCAATCTGCTGCTTTCCCCAAGTCAGTTTTCTAGGACAGCAGGTGCCCCCACAAGTCAAAAATCCTATCTGGAATCCATTTTATCCTGAGGTGTAGATTTAAAGATAGTTAATTTGAGAACTGGGATGCAACAAAACATCATGTGGTGCTTCCAAATGCCCGTGCCCTGAACCTGGTCACACCCTTGAAACTGGCAGTATTCTAGTGTTGCAGATTGCTGTGTGCCCGCGGAGTACTTATTCAGGGATTCGGGAAGGGGATTTCCCAGAACCCAAGCCAGAAAGTGATTTCAAGATCAGCAACAGCACTCCCTCATTTACCTCTCAGGATTTTTTATTCTTGTAAGCCACTGAATAAATAGGCCCTGAGTTGCACAGGAAGGAAACTCATTGCACAGAGTGACAAATGACAGCAACTGCTGTCAACTACTTCACCTGGCCCGCTGAAAGAGAATCTCTTTTCTTCCTGTGCTGGAGAGAAAGGCAGTGAGAGGAGGGATGGGTGCCCAGCTGGGCATGTTTTCCCTTCGAGTCTAGAGAAGAGGGATACCATCGGTACAGATACAGTGCAGAACATTACTGATTAGACCCGGAGGAATTACCAGCTAACTACCTCGGGTTAGGTGCCTCAGGTGAATCTCAGGAGATCAGCAAACACCACTGTTTCTATGTTTCCCACAAGGGCATAAACAGGCATGACGGAATTGTTGGCCACTACTGGCCTGACCCCTGCCATTTCTCTTCCCTGGGCACAGGAGGCATATACGGAATACCTGAGGAGCATCCACTATATCTCCCAGGTGCTGTTGGAAGAAGTGGAGACAACCAAAGGTACAGATCTCAGCCTCACTGCTTCTCCCACGCTGAACAAATTATGGACTGCTTAGCTCTTGGTGGGTCTTAAGCCTGGGGTTGTCCTGTGTCCTACCCATTGGTCGTTAGCAGAAAGTGAACTGGTGAGCCCTCAGCAAGCACGAGCTGTCATAGTGTGTTGTGGGAGCAGGCGGGGATGGGTGTTGTAAGAGGATGTAAATGGGATGGGGCAAAACCGGAGATTGGACACTGAGCCCCAGCCCAGGAAGGAGTGAACTGCGTAAAGGTCAGGGCCCTGGGGCAACACCCCCAGCAGAGGGATGTGTAAAGACTCTGAGATGAGAGTGGGGGCTGAGTACAGGGATGAGGAGGTTCAGTGGGGGCAGGCATGGCCTTGCGTGGAGCTGTGTTGTTCCGGTGTAAGGAAGCTCGTAGAGGCTTTGTGGGAGAGGCCGGCATGGAGGCAGAGCCTCCAGGAGGCTCCCACAGTGAGGACAGCAGTGGTGGGACCACTTGGGGATGGAAGGAGTGAAGGGCCTGGGGTCGTGCTTTCAAGGTGGACCTCACAGATTTGCTGGGTGAGCCGCTGGTTGGTGGGGCAGGGGGTGGAGACAGTGAGCCCCTGGAGGGAACAGTGAGCCGCTGGAGGGCAACAGTGAGGTACAGGAGGTGCTGTGGGGATGGGCGGGAGCAGACTTGTATGGGCAGAATAGAGAGCTCCATCGTGAGCACCTTCTGTTTGAGGCACTGAGCACCCTGACGATACAGGAGCACAGTGGTTAGGGAGAGGTCGGAGTCACCAGAATCAGAGCTGCCCCAGAGAGCCAGTGAGCTTAGCAGAGCTCTGGGCACTCCCAAGGTTGGGGACTGGGCGGGGGAGACACAGTAGTACGCCCAGGGGGATGTTCTGGAAGAGAGACACCTGGAGAGGTTGGGGAGGCCTCAGAGAAGGGCTGGACGGGAGGGCATGAGAGAGGGTGGTCTCAGTGGGAGTCAGGTGGCTAAAATGGAGTGTGCTGAGGGGCTGGCTCTAAAGGGGGCAGTAAGTGGCTCAGAAACTACGGCTGGTGGGGTCCAGGGAAGAGTTTTGAGTAGCAGCTCCTACAGCATGCACCTGCCAACATGAGTGGTCCCCAGAAGAGGGAATGCAGGACAGAAGCCCCAGGGATGTGCCAGGGGTGAGGTCAAGCACAGCCAGAGGGCAGGAGATAGGCAATAAAGTTGTCCCTGAAATGGTCCTCATCCACTGCAAGGCCCACCCTGAGGAGGGGCTGTAAGTACAAGTAAAGGCCCTGGTGAGCAAAGGCCGGGTTAGGTAGAGAGAGGGCTCTGATGGTCCAGCTGAGATGACAGGACAGTCAGCTGCTGGGCTGGCCAAGCTCAGCGCCCACATAGCGTCAGGAGGTAAATAAACCCAGAGCAGGTGATCAGAAATGAGGAGATGGGATCGCCTAGAGGTCAGAGATGAGGAGAGGGTGGCGACCCGGGAGGGAGAGATGAGGAGGGGGTGAATTTGTCCTTGTTTTTGTCTCGGCAAGAATCGGTCTAATAATAAAGGGGACGGTGACCAGCTCTCTTTTCTCTTTATCCCCAGAAGGTGGGGAAACTGTGGCCCCGGACACCTCAAAGATGCTGAAGCTGGCCGAGCAGTGTCTGGAGAGGGCCCAGTCAACAGCTGCCAAGCTCGGTGGGTCTCTGGCAAGTTTTCCTGGGGCATCTCCCCCAAAGTCCGCGTCTCTGGAACGTCGGATTCCATGTTGAGCCTTGCTCATGTATGCGTTGCAGGGAAAACATACCTGAAGCCAGCCATGCCCACGGCTGCTCCTGTCCCCTCACCGACCAGCCGACATCGCCGGGTGTACTCAGATGAAGGGGGGAAACTCTCTCCCTTTCTGCCGCCCGAGATCTTCCAGAAGCTTCAAGTGGTAGAGTCACAAAGTTCTAAGAAGTAAGCTGGGGCAAAACGGAAGGCGGGCCGAGCCTGGGTTTGAAGTCCAGGCCAAGTGAGCTAACCACAATGAATTCAGTTAAAGTGGGTCCCAGAATGGAAATACCCTTGCGCTTGGCAAAAACAGATGCAGATCCCCTTTGGACAAAAGCATCTTCAGCATGCACAAATGATGCACAGCGAGAGATAACCAAGCACAAAAAGAAACCAGAAATTTACGGAGTAATAGCAGACACAGACTTGCCAAGTGTTCAGGGGAAGTTACCAGACACACATCACAACACAGTCATGTTGTCCTCAGTTACAAAAGTGAAAAGCAAATTTGAAAATAGCTGCAGGCAGCAAAAGGCCAGAGAGTATAACCCAGCAAATAAAGAACCACGTTGAAAGGAAACAGAAAATGTAATACCAAAATTGTTTTCAAAAACGAATTGGAAATAGTAACAAATTATATTCTCCGGTGAAAACACACACAGGCACACAGACACACGTGGTCAATATTGTACCAACAGAGTAGATGTAGTTGAAGAAAGAATGAGCGAACTGGTTGAAAGATCAAAAGATATCCAGAATGACTCTCATAGGGGGAGGAAAGACGACGAAATCTGAGACAGAGCTAGGAGATCTGACACGAGATTATTGGAGTTCCAGAAAAAGAGAAGAAAGAAAGAAGGAGGAAGAGAGGCATTATTTGAAGAGATAACAGTACATAAGCTTCTGGAACTGATAAAACTCACTTAGACACAGACAGAAGAACCCCCGGGAGGATGAACCAGGCTGGCTCCTCCTGGCGCTGCTGCTGCCAGGCCTCGGGGGCCACCGCTACCTCATTTCTGCATGTGCCATCGCGGGGCGGGACTCCCCACGGGACTCCCGCCCCGGGACACATTTTCCCTTGCCAGTTGGCATCCTCACAGTTTACCCTCTCCTACCACAGAAGCGTGAAGACATGTGACACCAGCAGTTTGGGTGGGGGCACAGAGGTTGGCCCTCGGCAAGCTATTTCTAATAAGCAGGCTTTGGTTCTCTCTCCCACGGGTGGCAAAGTTATCTAGCTGTTTGGCTCACATGATGCCCCTAAAAAGTTCCGTGTTGTTGCCCAACGTGTGGATGTGGAAAGCGCAGTGTGCCGCTTTTCTTGAAAACGCAGGCGGCCTGGCGACTGCAGGCCCGGGTTTCAGCAGGACAGAGGTCTCCAGCCCACCCTGCACCTCCTCCCTCCTTCCCATTTCCTGCCTGCCCCCATCACCGCCTCCTTCTGGTCTCAGAGCACAGTCAGGGGGGCACTCCAGGGCTTCCTGGGGCCTGGACAGCACAGCAGCTCGTCTCTGTCTGCAGGGAGCTGACGCCCCTGCAGGAAGCCTCTCTGCAGAACCAGAAGCTGAAGGCCGCCTACGAGGCCCGGATGGCCCGTCTGGACCCCAGCCAGGCCCTGCAGAAGACCTCCCTGGTGAGCGGGTCCCAGGGAGGGTCTGGGTGGCCGGTGGAAGAGGAACAGGCTTTATTTTCTCCTTCCCTTCCTAGACCCTGTCCCTGCAGCGGCAGGTGATGGAGAACCTTGTGATCGCCAAAGCCCGGGAGGAGACCGTATCCTTTCTGTCCTTCCCTGGTGTCCTGGCTGAAGGAGGCGGGGAGGGGGGAAGTGAAGGTGCCAGGGTTGGAGTGTGGGACAGAACTCTTCCAGCCTCAGAGAGACTGCCCTGGAGGGGCGGCTCCTGCCTTCCTGGCCTTCACACGGTCAGGCGTTCTGTTCCTCTCAGCACCCACGGGCTCCTCCCCATCCTTCAGGTCAGCTAGGGCTTGCTCCCTTCCCTGAGTGAGCACCCGCCCTCAGGCCCCGCTGCCCCGCCCCGCCCCACCTGGCCTCACCTCCCGATGGGGGTCCTCAGGACAGACACAGCCTTGACCCTGCTGGCACAGCTGCGGAGGAAGAGGGAGGAGCGCCGGCTGCGGCTCCAGGAGGCAGCCGACAGGTGCGTCTCCTCCCACAGGTCTCGGGGCAGCTGAGTGGGCTGCTGGGGGCTCCCTCCCCTGCCACCCAGCTCGGAGGCCCCCAGCCCCTGTCTTCCTCCCCAGGAGGTTCTGCAGTCAGGTGGCCCTGACCCCGGAGGAGCGGGAGCAGCGGGCCCTCTATGCCGCCATCCTCGAGTACGAGCAAGACCACGTGAGTCCCCGCCGCTGGGCACGGGGGTGGGGTTGTCACAGGTTGCTATTCCGAGGGGGGTGGTGGGAGGGGAGTCCTGAGGCCTGTTGGCGTGGGCCTTCCCTACGCCCCAGGGAGGACACGGACAGTGTGGCGCTGGCCTGGGGTGCGGCCTTGGCAGGGAAGGTTGTGGGGACCCCGCCATGCCCTCCAGAGACTCCTGCCCTGCAGGACTGGCCGAAGCACTGGAGAGCCCAGCTCAAGAAGAGCCCGGGGGACCTGTCGCTGGTGACCAGCCTGGTCTCCCACCTGCTCAGGTACCAGGGCCTTCCCCCCCCCACCCCCACCCCCGGCCCCCTGGTTGGCCCTGACAGCGGCCAAAAAGATCAGAAAGGGAAGGGGTGAAGGAGGCGGGCGGGGGTGGCCGGACGCGGACGCGCCACGCTCAGGCCCCCTCGGCGGGGCTGGGCTTGCAGACGCCCCCCCCATCCAGCCGCCCTGCTGGTCTTTTAGCGGCCAGGGGGGTCGGGTCAGACTTTATCTGCCACATTCGCTCGCGAAGAAACCATTCAAGGGTTGCTCCGCCAAAACCCGTCCAGCGGCGCCGTGCTGTAGGCGGGTGGACTTCCGGCGAGGGCCGGGCCCCCGCGCCACAGCCCCGCGCCTCTTCCTCTGCGCAGCGTTCCCGACCACCCCATCTCGCAGCTCCTGAAGAAGCTCCAGTGTGCGGTGTACCGGGCGCTGTACCCCGTCGTGAGCAGGGGCGCCGCGGGCGCCGCTTCCGCCCCCGGCTGCTGCTCCTTGTCCCCAGACGCCGACGGGCTGCGGGCTCCCGGGAGCCGGCGGCTCCGGCCCTCGCAGAGCCTCTACTGCGTGCTCTCCCCCGCGGAGCCGGGCCCCGCCCCTCGGCCCCCGGACGGCACCCACGGCAGCCCCCCCCACGCCCCCGCCGCACGCCGGCCCCCCCGAGGGAGGGGCGGACGGCGGCCCCGCCGGGCCTGCCTCCCCCCTGGCACACACCCCGCCGGGCGTGCAGAGCAGACACAGCTCCTTCGAAGACCTCGAACACTTCTTGGCCACTTCTGAGGGGTGGGGCCGGGGGCGTGGGAGGCCGCCCGAGCCCCAGGCCTCGGGGGTGAAGACGGAGCCGTTGTCGGAGCAGCTGAAGAGTACCGTCAAGGACATACACAACGCCATCGGTGAGGGCCGGCGTGCCCGCAGGACGGGCGGGCGGGGGCGGGGGCGGGGGCGGGGGCTGCTCCGACACACGCAGCACAAAGCTTTCCACAGGCCCAGGATAGGCCCCGGGAGGGACAGGCCTTCCTCTGGATGGCGGAGGCCTCCGCGTCTGCCCTTCTCTGGGGCAAATCCTCGCGGAGCAGACAGGAATGCACCCTGCTGTGAGAGCAGCTGGGCCAGCTGCGGTCCCTGGTCCCTGGCCTAGGTCTCCCCAGTCCCCGGCTGTCTTCTCACCCTCACCGGGCTGCTTCGTTCCAGCCTCCTGTTTGAGGAAGGGCCTGCTCTCAGAGGCTCTAGCTGCCAGGTGGTCCTGGCTGGCCCGTAGGGCCGGGCTCTGGTGATTCCGAACCAAGGACCATTGGGTGTGTGCAGCCTGGTGGTGGTGACAACGGGCTCGTCTCTGCAGCCTTTTCCATTTTTGAGAATAGTGTGTGGATTCTCTAAGGGTTGGGTGCCTAGGGTGGCTGCGGACTCCCAAGGAGGAAGGCTTTCAGGGTTCTCCAGGGGTCAGTGAGGCAGGGACCCTGGATGGGCCTCCCATCTCCCGGGGCCTCAGGTCTTGTCTTTAAATATGCCTCTAAAATTCCTCCAGGTTCCCCCAGTTTGGGGTGCAAACCCCTTCAGGAAGAGGCTGTCCTTTGCTTTTTCTCAGCCTGTCGTCTTAGTTCCTTGGGGGAGCTGGGCGTGATTCTGTGAGCTCCTAAGTACTCTGACCCCAGGCCCCATGGACACAGAAGTTGGGGGGGGGGGCGGTGAGGGGAGTGGAGGGAGGTTCAGACAGAGCGCTCTCCACTGAGCCGGAACCCTGCGGCTCTCCCCACACTGCGGCTGGCTCTAGGAGGCTGGGAGAGGGGATGCCAGGCATGGGGCCCACTTGGGCACCCCGGGCTGGCTGGGGATGATCTCCAGGGGCTGCCAGCCTGGGGCCGGAGGGCCTGGCTGTCCCCACAGTGCCATTGTGCCGGCTCTGCTCCCGGCAGACAGGCTGCTTTCGCTGACTCTCCTGGCTTTTGAAGGCCTGAATGCGGCCGCCTCCAAGGACCGATGCCTGGCCTGCATCGAGGAGCCTTTCTTCTCCCCGCTGTGGCCCTTGCTGCTGGCACTCTACAGGTATGATCCCAGTTTCAGGCCCCCACAGGGGCCTTCCCCGCTCGTTGATCCCTGAGGCACACTTTTGACCATGCTTCCAGCTGGTGCTCTACTCTGAGGCCATCCTTAGATGTTTCTGCTTTGCAAGAACCTGTGACTCTGGGCACGGCGAGCTTTCCCTAGCCCCGCTTCTGTCCGTGGGGCAGAGCCCCCCGGGCCGCTGAGCCTGGCCTCTCTCTGCCCCAGGAGCGTGCACCGCCTCCGGGAGGCCGCCCTGAGCAGGAGCATGGAGCTCTACAGGAACGCGCCCCCGACGGCCATAGGCGTTCCCACGAAGCTCCTGCCCCGGGGCCTGGAGGCCACAGGAGCCGGTGCCTTCCCCTACTGTGCTGCAGCCCAGGAGCTGGGGTTGCTGGTTCTGGAGAGCTGTCCCCAGAAGAAGCTGGAGTGCATCGGTGAGGGGGCTGCAGTTTGGGAGGACAGGAGGGGGAACGTGGTCGGATAAAGTCCCTTCCCAGAGGGTGACCTGGGGTCTCTGTGTGCCTCTGAAGTGCAGACCTTATTCCTGTCAAAATGGGGGTGTGTCTCACAGGACAGACGCTGTGTGAGAGCAGTATGTTCGGGCGGGAGCTTCCCAGTTCTGCCAGCTCCACTTGTGCCGGGAGGGGCCGGTGCCAGGGGGTTGTTCTGGGACTGGCTCCCCTCGGCCCTCTCCTGAAGCCTCACTTTTGGGCCACAGTGCGGGTCCTGCGGGTTATCTGTGCCTGTGCCGAGGGTTACTGCCGGGCCCAGGAGGCTGCGTCTGAGGCCAGACCCCAGCTTGGTGCCGCAGCCATGTGAGTCCCAAAAGCCCACGGCCCGGGGTGGGGGTGGGTGGGGGGGCAGTGAGCAAGTGAGGGGCTGCCTGCAGAGGCCTGGGGGGAGAGAGAGAACCCTCCCGTCCTGCCCCGAGCACCGGGACCACAGCTTTCCACCTGGTGTCTGGCCCCCCTGGGCCCCAGCATCCTTGGGGCTACAGTGAGCTTCGCAGGGCTTATCCAGGAGAGTGTCCATTTCCACCGAGGGCTTGGGGCTGCAGCCCAAGGCTCTGGGCTCTGGGCAGGTTACTTACGGGTCAGGGACCGCCTGGCTAATCTAGTGCAATTTAGCATTGTTTGTCACAGGAACACGGACTCGGTCCCTCAGCTGCACGCTTTGGGGAGGCAGCTCCAAGCCTCCATGAAGAGCTTGCTCTCTGTGCTGAGCCCCCAGACCTGGGGCTCCTGCATCATCTATGTCCCCACCGTCCAGAGGCAGGGCAGGCGTTTTCTCTACCTGGGGCTCTGATGCCTGGTCCTGTCTCAGTCTCACCTGGACCCACCTGGGACCAGCAGCCCCACCAACCCCAGGGCCGGGTACAAGACCTCAGCTTCTGGGTCGGGGTGGGGGAGACCTCTTCGCCAGTTCACCACGCGGCTGCTGCAGAAGTAGCTGCCGGCAAAACAGTTGTAGGGCTCCGCGTTTCTGAGTCCGGGCTACAGCCCCATGTCACCTGTCTCCTCTGTGCGTCTGAGGAGCCAGGGAGGTCCGTGTTGTAGTTTGTCCGCGTTTCTGCAGGAGTGTGGTGCCCAGGGCGGTGGAGGCGGGGCCGCAACCCAGAGCTCATGGTGTGTGAGGCCTTCCTGGCTGGGGGTCACACTCAAGCCACAGGCTGCTCTCACGCTCTTCCCAGAGACTGCCGCCCGTGGGCCCCTTGGGCCCGGGTGTTGTGTGTCCTGCAGGGCCTCCCTTGGCACCTTTTCAGCTCCCTTAGATGCCTCTTCCGGAGGATCGCCGCGCCTGGCTCCGATCCCAGGTGTAGTAAGCAGGCTGCCCGGGACCTGGGCCATCCCCTCCGTTAGCCGTTCCCCAGGTGTGGGCAGGCTTGCAGGGCGAGCCTGTGAGGTTGGGGCTACCCGATACCTCCGCTGTGGGGGCCTCTGCTGACCCAGCCATGGGCTCTGCAGCACAGGGTCCCCATTCGGGGACAGCGTTGCCGCTTGTAGTGGCTGCCGGTGCCGCTGACCTGAGTCTACTCCCAACTCCCCCACGCAGGCGGGCAGGAGGGGTGCAGGGAGAGCAGCCGGCAAGCCCAGGACCAGTCCAGAGGCCGAGCTGGGGGCTGCAGGGTTATGGGGACTGAGCAGCCATCATGGCCCCCGGAGCCTACCGGCCAGCCGTGCCTCTACCCAACAGCGGTGCCGACGACCTGCTGCCCATCTTGTCCTTCGTGGTGCTGAGAAGCGGTCTCCCCCAGCTGGTGTCAGAATGCGCAGCCCTGGAGGAGTTCATCCATGAGGGGTAGGAGCCCCCAGCTGGAGTCGGGCCAGCACGGGGCACTGGGCACCTGCTCCCAGGCTGGGGGTCCGTCCCTTGAGCAGCGTGTGTCCTCCAGCCCAGCCTCCATGACAGACCCCTGTGCGACCTTAGTGTCCCGGTCCTGCCCCACGAGGGCAGACACCCCGTCCAAGGTGCTGGGGGCTTCTTTGCATCCCCTGCAGGTAACAGGTGCTACCCGTGCCTGTCTCTACGCAGGTACCTGATCGGAGAGGAGGGTTACTGCCTGACGTCACTACAGAGCGCCCTGAGCTACGTGGAGCTGCTGCCCCGGGGTGCCCTGGGCAAGTAGAGCAGGACAGGACCTGCGGAGGACCACCAGGAGTCACCTGCTCTGGGTGGGGGGGGGGGGCAGCAGCAGGCCGGCTGTGGCAGGGCTCTGCAGCTCTCACTCGTGCCCTGACCGGACGTCTGCCCCAGGGCCTTGAGGAGGCCCCTGTGCTCTTCAGAGGATAGATCTGAGCTGAATCAGCTCCTGGGAGCCAGGCCCTTCTCTTTCCTCAGCCTGACTTTGTGCAGGGAAACCAGAGCTGTGGACTCTCCTGGGGCCTGTGCACCCTCACAGACCCAGCCACTCAAGGGTAGGGAGGGAGCCGTAGGCCTGGCAGAGGGCAGGTCTGCTTTCTCTCCCTTCCCATCTCCTGTGACAGCCAGCTTCCGGTGCCAGTTTCTTGTTGGGGTCAAGGAGAGAGCCGTCCCCATCCCCTGCCTCCAAGGCCTGGAGCCCAGGTGGTCTGAAGCTATACTGTTTACTTACGGGGCATTGAGCACTCCCCTCTCCTCTGTAGCCCAGGCCTCCCCAGGGTGCCCACCCGCGTCTGGGGCCTCTGAGCTGTGCCCTCCCTCGGCAGTAGGCATTGGACATCCTGGGGCCTCTGGCTGATTCCCGCCCTGCACGTCCCTTTCTGGGTCAGCGTGAAGCCGAGGATCAACGCCTGCCTGCAGCGCAGCGTCCGCTCTGTTACGTGCCCCGGGCAGCCACTGACACGGCCAGAAATAAAGAGGTCACTGGTGTCTGTCTCTGCATCTGTCTCTCTCACTGATACCTCCCACTGGTCGTGTGGAGGCCCAAGCAGGGCGACCACCTCCCCTGCTGACCAACAAGAGCCAGACTGTCACAGAGCCCACTGAGCTCTACCACCCCAGAACCTGGGCGGGGGGAGGGGGGGAACAGAAGAGGGATCCCCCTAGGGCTGCACCCTCTAGGACAGGACACGCTCTGCAGGGCCTAGGGGGCCGGGCAGGGCAGAGTCAGACATCATCACTGGACAGGACCTGGGGCCGGACCTCTTGGCCTGAAGGGCTCTCAGGAAAACCTCTTCATTCTCCAGGTGGGAAATGCACACGGGAGCCCTGAGTTGTGACAGGTGTCACCTCTGAAGAAGAGAAAGCAGGGAGCCCAGCCCAGATGCTTCAGGCAGCATCTGCCAGGGGAGGAGGGTCTCCTGGCAACCTGAGTGCCACTGAGGCAGGTGGTTTGGGCCCAACCACCCCAGAGGCCAGTTGTGGGTCTAGGGTCCATCCTGAGCCAGCATGACTTCATCCTAACTTGATGACACGTGCAAAGACCCTGTTTCCAAATATGCTCACATGCCCAGGTTATAGGTGGACATGAACACGGGGAGACATTCAGCCCCATGAGAGGTCTCTCCATGTGGCTGCCAGCTACCCCACGGATGGCTGGATTCCAAGAGCGAACGCTCCAAGACAACGAGGTATTTTAAGGACTCAACCTGGGAAACCACACAATGTCACTTCCAGTCTGTGTGGAAGCAGCTGCAAAGACCCACCCTGATTCTAGTGTCACATTGAGAAGAGCCACATGCCCTAGAGCAGCACAGAGCAAGTGCCTGGAGTCGCACACAGCAACAGAGACGAATCCCAAACAGCACCGACTGCAGACTCGAAGAAGCAGAGGGCAGAACACCATCTACTTAGAGCTGGAGGTCCTGCCCTGCAGGCTGTGCAAGGGTGCACTGAGGACGCCCATTCACCACACTCACTGGTCGTCTTTTAGGGATGGGGCTGTGGCCTTGGATGAACGCAACATGGGGGGCCTTGCATCCGAAGACCACTATGAACTCAGCGGTGAACTGAAGAGAGTGGTTAAGCTCAACCCTTCTGCACACAAGCAGGAGAAGGTGACCAGAAGCTACCTGTCCCCTCAGGCATGGCGTGGCCCTACGGTTGGGCTCAGTACGCAGTAAGTGAAATACCTCCACGTTGGGTGGTGGCCGGCAAAATGGCTCAAGGAGATCGATCCCTCGCTTCATTACCGTGTTTTTTCCAGAAGTCCCATTTGAAGAATCTAAAAACAATATTGCAGAGCACTGCCGAGGGAAAACTCAGAGACGTCTTCCCAGGCGGGGCCAACAAAAAAAGTGTCCTAGAGAGGCGAGGGGCCCAGAAACCCAGCTGCAGGGTGCCCAGGGAGGCAGGTCTACGAAGACCTTCCCTGCGCTGAGTTGGGACTCCCAAGGACCAAATCTCTCCCATCCCTCGTCCACCCAAGTGGCCTCAGCGCTGAGCGGAGCCCAAAGCAGAGCAAGAAAAAATGTCCCCAGGGAGTTGTGGCCGGGATCAGACCTGAGCTTCGCCGGCCTCGGCTCAGGGGCCTGGAAACGACGCTGGCCTAGTCAGGAAGGGACCTTCACGCCGCCTCAGGGACCCCCAGATGATGCGCTCACACACCAGGAAGGTGAGCCCGCGGAGAAACTGAGGCTGCCCCGCCCACCCGAGGCTGCTGTTCTAACCACGGCGAAGCTCACCTCCTTGTGCGCTGGTTGAGCGCTGGGCCGGAGCTGGGTCGCTCGAGGGGCGCCGGCGCTCCAAGCGACTGGCTCAGAGGGAGCGGCTGCTGGGACGCACCGTTCCTCGTGTGCCCGCCCGAGCCCCGGCCCAGGGTCGGCCACCAACGGCCCCGGCGGCGCCGTGGGTAGACGGGAGACGAGGGGGCAGCTGGCCGTACAGGTGCGCGGTGCAGGTGCTCAGCTGGGCGGCACAAGGCCCCGCCCCCCGGCTCGGCCCCGCCCGTGTTAGCAGAGGGGGCTGTGCCCGAGCAGGCCCCGCCCCGAGCGTCACGGCCGAGGCCGATGGGCGGAGCCGCAGGCGGCGGAAGAGCTCCGAGCCGAGAGGTGGGGACCCGCAGGTAGTGCGGTCGCTCGCGGGGTCCGCAGCACTCCCTGGTGGGCGAGGCGGGGTCTCTCTGTTCGGGAGCGGGGACGCAGCTGGCGGGGTGCTGTAGGCCCTGGGGTCCGCTCAGCTGACGAGGTCGCCGGGCTGCGGGGGGACCATGTGGATGCTGGGTGGAGGCTCTGGGGGGCGCACATCTGGCGGGGAGAGGTCTCTGGTTCCTGACACGCGACCCCCGCCCGCCAGAATGGGCAGCAGCTCGCTGTCCGAGGACTACCGCCTGTGCCTGGAGCGTGAGCTGCGGCGCGGCCGCGCGGGCGTGTGCGGGGACCCATCGCTGCGAGCGGTGCTGTGGCAGATCCTGGTTGAAGACTTCGACCTGCACGGGGCGCTGCAGGACGACGCGCTGGCGCTGCTCACCGACGGCCTGTGGGGCCGCGCCGACCTGGCCCCCGCGCTGCGCGGCCTGGCCCGCGCCTTCGAGCTGCTGGAGTTGGCCGCCGTGCACCTGTACCTGCTACCCTGGAGGAAGGAGTTCACCACCATCAAGGTAGGGCACTGGGCCGAGAGGGCTCCCCTACCCAGGATGCTCTGTGCCGAGGTCAGAGTTCCCTGGGGGATCCTGGAAGCCTTGGGGGCAGCTCTTGGCCAAGGTCCCCCTGGACACTCGCAGGGCTGAAAACATGGTGTGGGTGGAGGCCACCCACCCTGGGTGCCTGCCTTCTGGGTTGGGCGGGGTGGAATCCTTGCTCCTCAAAACTGGAATCACTGCTCTCCCCAAAGTGGCCCCGCGGCTCCTGTAGCACAAATCCTAGGACAGGTGCACGAGAGGAACTTGAGGTTCCATGATCACTCTAATCCCTCCATGATCCCATTTATAGGGGAGTGTTGGGCGGGTGTATCCCCTATGAAGTAGGCACGAGCTGGGGACCCTGCACACCCTGGGGGTCTGGACTAAGTCCACCACTCGTTCAGGTACAGAGGCTGTGTCCAGGGCTGGCCTGATCCCGTAGGTGAGCTGCCAGCCTGCCGAGGGGGCAGGCATTTGGCCCTCAAAGCTAATTTGGAAGAGTAGGAAGGTGCTGATGTCATTGGGCACGTGGGCGAGTCCACCTCCGCCGGTTGCCATGGCAGCGGCCGCTTTTCTGTCTCCCCCGCCCCTCCCCCCTCTCTCAAAGGGTGAGCTCTAGAGCTTTGTTGCTTCATGGGGACACCTGCTGGTCAGAAGTTCAAGGGCTTTAACATTCGGATAACGGGAGGGGAGGCACCCTTCAGTGTCGGTCAGACCTGGCTGCAGTCTGGTCCTACTTCCTCTTGGCCGTGTGGCTTAGTGCAGGTTACCTAAGCTCCCTGAACCCGTTTCCTTGTCTGTCAAGCGGACACAAGAATAAGCCAGTCCCAGGTCTGTTGTGAGCCCTGAGTACGATGCTTGCACGCGGTAGTGCTCAGTCTGCGGGACGTGTCATCCTCAGCTAGAAGCAGAGGAATGCTGACAGGATCCCAGAGTGATAGAATTTTAGGACCGGGAGACCCACATGACCGTCATCCTCAAAAAATGCGACCCGGGAGGCACTTTCCTGTCTGGCGTTCCCGGGCTCTCCGCCCAGCTGCACAGTGGAGCCTCCACACAGTACAGGTGGTGCACCCACGTGGTGGTAGGCACAGCTGGATAAAACGCGTGGCTAAGCCTCGGTCTCCATGGGAAAGGCTCTCCAAGACAAGTGCAAAGGCGAGTTCAGGACGTGTTGGGGAGGCCACCTGATCAGAAGGGCAGATAAGCACCCCTATTTGTGCAGGACCAGATCTCAGCAAAGCCCCGGAGGTGACAGGAGGTGGAGGAGACCCCGAGGGAAGTGAGATTTATTTCCCTCGCCGGCCCCAGCAACTAAAGCGGGTCTCGGGAGGCGGGCCCTAGCACGCGTTGCCGAGAAGCTCCTCCCATGGGCGTGTCAGCACAGCCCGAAACTGCCCCGGTTCTGGGGTGAGGCTGGTGGCCCCTGGAGCCGGCCGGCCAAGGCCAGAAGGGAGGTGAGTGTGGGCTGCTGGTGACCGGGACCCTCCTCCGCAGACCTTCTCCGGGGGCTACGTGCACGTGCTGAAAGGTGCCCTCTCGGAGGACCTCCTCATCCAGAGCTTCCAGAAGATGGGTTACGTGCCCAGGGACAACCACCGCCTGACGATGGCTGCCCTGCCACCCGCCTGCCAGCTGGTGCAGGTAGCCCTGGGCTGCTTTGCCCTGCGGCTGGAGTGTGAGATCCTGGGCGAGGTGCTGGCCCAGCTGGGGACCAGCGTGCTGCCAGCGGAGGAGCTGCTGCAGGCCCGGCGGGCCAGCGCGGATGTGGCCTCCTGCGTGGCCTGGCTGCAGCAGCGGCTGGCCCGGGAAGAGGAGCCGCCACCTCTGCCCCCCCGGGGCTCCCCCACCGTGTTCCAGACGCAGCTGGACCTATACCGGGACCTGCAGGAGGACGAGGGCTCGGAGGAGGCCAGCCTGTATGGGGGGCCCTCGCCGGGCCCTGACTCCCCTCCCCCAGAGCTGGCCTGCCGGCCTCCACTCTGGGGACAGAGCGCCAAACTGTGGGGTGCCAGGGGAGGGGCCTGGGAGCCACTAGGGGAGGCTGAGGTGCTGCCGCAGGCCGGCAGCCCGCCGTACGGGGCCTTGAAGGGGGAGCCGGAGCCAGAGCCGGACACCTTCTCCTTCCTGTCGCTGCGCCAAGAGCTGCTAAGCAGGCCTGGAGACCCAGGGAGGTCGGGGCGGGCCAGCCCCCAGCGTGGGTACGGGCCCAGCCCCCCACCCCCCGGCTACCAAGCACACGGCTGCCTGGCTCCCGGTGCCCTGCCCACCCTCTGCTGTGACACGTGCCGCCAGCTGCACGCCCCGCACTGTGCCACCCTGCCCGCCTGCCGTCTAGGTCACGCACTTCGTGTGCTGCTCGGTGACACCCAGCAGCGCCTCTGGCTGCAGCGTGCACAGGTGGACACCCTCCTCTATGATGGGCCGGGGGCCCGACCTTAGGCCCAGCCAGGCCCTGGGTCAAGTGCTTTCCAGAGAGTTTCCGTGGTGCTTCTCTGGGCCTCATCACTCCTCAGGCCTGAGCCCTGGCCACCCTGCCCCCCGGGGACTCCTGGGCACAGCAGGGTGGGGGAATCCAGGCCTCACAAAGCAGGAGATGGGCTCCTGCCTTCCATGGAAAGCTCTTGCCTGGGGCTGGCCGGCTCCCCACCCCCTGCTCCCAGCGTTCCAGACTATGTCCCAACGTGCTGGGTGGAGTCTAGTTTGTGTCCGCGTCTCACCACCATGCCTACTCCCACGAAGGGCCCTCTCCCTCCTCTTTCACCCCTCCCCCAACCCACTGGAGGGGCCCAGCACCCAGCCTGTAGCTCTTGACCTATCCCTGTAAGTTGTGGTTCAGGACATGTTGCCTCCCTCTGAGTGTCCAAGGGAGATTCTCCTCACAGGGGTGTCCTTGGAGGCCCGCAGGTGACACCGTGGGCCACTGAGCACCACCGTGACCAGCCCAGGGGCTCTGCCAGGTACGTGGCTGACCTAGCCTTTTGCCGGTGGAACGAGCCGAGGGCTGGCCCGAGATGGACCCACGTGCCCTGGTCAGCGCTGGGCTGGGAAGCTGGGCCCACACGTGGAAGAGAAACAATCCGATCTCACAGCAGAGTGTGCAGGCTCCCGAGGAGTCCAGAGAGCAGGGAGGCACGCAGCAAGTGGGGCCTGGACTCTTGTCCAAGCGAGGCTGTGTCACTCGCTTCCAGGTGGAACGTGGGGCTTCTGAGCAATCAGCACCCCACAAGCCACCTTGCTGGGGCTCTCTGCTGCACAGGCTTCCCACCTGATCATTCACCCTGGGCCCAGTGGTAAAGATGGGGTCCAGGCTCTTGAGTAGCCACCTGCTCAGACCGACTCTCAGGGCGCAGGCGGGCGGAACCCCTTTTCCTGGGGGGGAAGGGGTCCCAGAACATACTAACCCACAGGACTGGAGGGGACAGGTGCCTGTTTCTGTGCTGGCCCCTCCTCACTGGGCACTCTGCCCGTCTGTCTGTCCCACCTCCTTCCCAGCACTCAGAGAACCACCTTCACGTCATGAGTCAGAACCCAAAGTTCATTAAAGGACATTGAACCTGTTCACGTCTGTTAGAAAAACTTTCATCTCTCTGAGCTTCTGTTAGCACCCACTCGTGCCCCTTCCCGTCTGGGCCTCAGTGTGGGGGCAGGGACAGGGCCCAGACCCCAGTCCATCAGGCAGGATGTGACCCACAACCAACCCCTCCTTCCCACCTGAGTGTCACCAGCCCTGCCGCTGGGGCGAGGCGGGGGGGGAGGGGGAGGGGGAGGCTTACCAGAGCCTCAGACAGACCCTGGGGCCCAGGACGGGATGCAGGCAACCATGTGGGGGGTCTGCCCATCCCACACTAGCAACACCCACTGAGATGGGCCCAGCGGCCTTCTGCTCTTGGGAAGTGAGGGCCTGAGCTTCTGCATAGCTGTAGAGGGCCGGCTGTGGGCATGGCCACGGGTGCCCAGACTGAGTGTCAGGCCGTTCTCGGGTGCACCCACCCTGCTCTTCTGGAGAAGGGAGTGCAGTCAGCTGGAGCAGCTGGTCAGTGTCAGTCAAAGGGCGAGCCGGATCCTAGCAGCGTCGTCAGCCCGGACTGCAGAGGCCTCCTGCCGGTCACGGTCACGGCTTGCAGCGCTTGCTCTGGGCCTCACACGTGGCCGGAACAGCCCGCTTGTTGCGGTGGTGGGGGAAGGTGGGCATGAGCTCTGGCTCGCAGGCTGCGGGGAGAGAGCCGTTCAGCGCCGGGTGGGTGGGGGTGGGGGAAGAGTGTGCTCCGGGTCTGAGAACCCCGCTCTGCATCTGTGATGGACCCTGGGGTTGCGTCTTCCTCTGCTCCCATCAGAGAACAGTTTGTGTGGCCAACAAGCATCCACACCAGCCTCAGCGGGCAGCCCCTGCCCGCCCAGGGCCCACCCTCCACCTGGGCTCCACCAGGAGCCCACCACACCACCCCTTCAGGGGCTTCAGCAGCTCTGCAAGGCCGTGCCCCGACACCCCACCCTGGACTACAAGGGCCACAAGCCAAGCCCCCTGTGGAGCCTGGTGGGGGTGGGGGTGGGGGTCTGGGAGACTCACGCAGGGGCTTCTCCTTGAAGTAGGAGCTTTCCAAGCCGTCTCTGGCCGTTGCCCTGGAGAGGAGGCCTTGCTGTTAACAGGACCCCCAGATGCCACTGAAGCTAGTGTCCCTCACACCTGCCCGGCTCCGTGCCCTCTGGTTCAAATGTCCCAACGACAAGAGGTGAGTGGCAAGTAGGGGACTGGGGCCCAGAAACAGATGGGAAACTCAGAACGGGCTCCGTGACCTGGGTGGGCAGAGACCGCCCAAACTGAGCGGCTGGCCCTCCGCGCCTGAGTCCGGGGGCTTCTCTGCGGCAGCGTGGCCTGTGTTCTGAAAATCCCCCTATAAAGGGCCCGGGTTTGAGGTGTCCCCACTCCCGCCCGCAGGCGAGGTCGGCACCTTTTCTTGGGGTCATACATGAAGAGGAAGTTCAGCAGGCGCAGGCCGGCCTCCGACAGCCACGGGAACTTGTGCTTCAGGTTGTTGTAGGGCTGCTTGCGCAGGCTGTACTGGCCCACCAGCGGCAGCCTGGAGAAACCCTGCGGGAAGCGGGAGGTGGAGCCAAGGGCTTCACGGCAGGTGAAGCCGGCCTGGGCGGGGGGGGGGGGGTGACGAGGGCAGAGGCCAGGCACTCACCGGCCAGATGTTCTCACTGGGTGTCCCCAGCAGCTGTACAATCAGGTCCACCTGGTGGATCTCAGAAGTGCCGGGGAGCAGGGGCTTGTGAGCCAGCAGCTCGGCCAGGATGCACCCCACGGCCCTGCAGAGGAGAGAGGGCCTCACTTCACGCACCGGCTCGCCGTGGCCACACACCTCCGCCGAGTGCCACTTTGACGTGAGCCGCTGAGGGCAAGTGCCGCCCCACATGCCTCCCACGTGCTGGGGTCAGGACCGGCTGGAGCTCGGGAGGTCACCACGGAACGTGACCCAGTGCCAGATGGCCTCTGTGGGTGGCGAGGGCCGGGCCTTTCTGCTGCAGAAGCTATGTTCTGACACTTGCCCTTGGGATCCCAGGTTTCTCCCCACCAGGAGCTGGCAAAGACCCCAGCCCTGCTCTGGCCCCTGCCGGCCTCTCTCCCAGGCTCTGGGAGCTGCCTTCACCCCTCACCACATGTCAATGCTGGTGGTCTGCGTGGTAGTTCCCAACAGCAGTTCGGGGGCCCGGTACCTGCAAAGAGAAATGCACTCTGCAGTCAGCCTTCCTGAGAGCTGGCCTGGGCGACCGGATGGCCAACCCCAGCTCAGGCCCCCTCTTCCCCGCAGTGCTGCAAACGTGGATGGCACGCGCGGTCACGGCAGCTGCTGCTGGACAGCCCCCGTGAGCAGCAGCGAATTCTCTATGCCACGCGGGGGCTGGCTGACACATGGCAGAAGGTGTAGGATTTCCACGTCCTCTCTGTAACCACAACCCTGCTGTGCTTCTTAAAAACACGAGAAGCAACTCCAGAAAGCTGCGTCACCCACCCACCCTTCTGTCTGAATCAGGCTGGGTGTCCGGCTGCCTCGGGCAGGGCGGTCTCACCAGCCTTTGCTGTCATCTTGCTGTCTCAGGAAGTGTCCTAGACCCAGCCTCCAGGAGTATGTGCAGCCCTCTGGGGCTTCGAGACCCTCAGGGTCCTTCTGCAGCTTTGGCCTGATCAGTGCCCCACACTTCCCTCCACCAGGGAAACCTTGTCCCGACAGACTCACCAGAGCGTCACCACCTTGGGGGTCATCGGCTTCACTGGGATGCCATAGGCCCGCGCCAGGCCAAAATCCGCTGCGACAAAGGCAGAAAGACGAGGGGACGAGGGTCACCGGGGGAGGGCTAACGAGCTGCTGTGTGGGAGCCAGCCCTCAGCCTTTAGGGTGCTTGTGAGGACTGACCTGCTCCCCTGCCCAAGTGGCCACACCTCCCACAGAGCCAGCGCCCTGCACCCACCTGTCTTCACACAGCCTTTGTCAGTCATGAGCAGGTTGGAAACCTTCAGGTCCCTGTGACAGAAAGTGATCACTAGTTCCCAGGAAGTGAGCTCCGTGGGGTAATTACGTTGTCTCCTAACTGTATGTCACAGGCACACTCAAAACACTTTTCCTCCACATCCTCTGTTGGAACTTTTTAAAGTTTACTTATTTTTAATAATCTCCACACCCAATGTGTGGATTGAACGTACAACCCTGAGATCAAGAGTCACACGCTCTCCTGACTGAGCCCATTTGAGCTTTCTGGGCACCCCCGTTTAAAACTTTTTATTATTTGTTAACTTGAAATTAAAAAAAAATTTTGTAATGTTTATTTATTTTTGAGAAAGAGAAAGAAAGCATGTGCACATGAGCAGGGAAGGGGCAGAGAGAGGGGAGAGGGAGACAGAAGATCTGAGATCTCAGCACAGAGCCCGACCAGGGGCTCAGACTCACTAACCATGAAATCGTGACCTGAGCCAAAGTCAGTCACCTAACTGAGCCACCCAGGTGCTTCTTTATTTTAAATATTTATCTTAGAGAGAGAGAGAGGGGGAGGGAGGGAGAGAGAGAGGGAGGGAGAGAGAGAGGGAGGGAGAGGGAGGTAGAGAGCATGTGCAGGGGAGGGACAGAGACAAAGGAAATCAAGAATCCCAAGCAGGCTCTGCACCGTCAGTGCCAAGGCTGGTGTGGGGCTTGATCCCATAAGCTGTGAGATCACGACTTGAGCCGAAACCAAGAGTCAGACACTTAACTGCCTGAGCCACCCGGGCGTCCCAGAACTTTTTAAAAACAGGGAAGGTGGGCAGCAGAAGGCCATCTGGCAGCTGGAGTAGCAGAGCTCTCAGTAACTTCCTCAGGAAGTGGCAGAGCCGGGCAACAAGCCCAGGCCTAACTTCCTCCCGTGCCCATCCCCACCCAGGACTGCACCAGCTGCTCCAAGATACAAGAAACCACTGCTGTGGGCCTGGAGGACCCCCCCCCCCATCCTCTTCCAGTCATAGCATTTTCCCGTGCATAATGAGACTCCAGGAGGGATGTGTCCACACAGTCAGTCCCCCGGGTGGAAAGCAGGTGCTGTTTGGGCCTGGATCCTGCCCCAAGGAACAGTTAGAGAAATGCATCGAAGCCAGGTCACCTTCCCCCTGCGTCACGAGGGCACATCTGTCCCTTCGGCAACTCCCGCCCCGATGATGCCATCCCCCACCACCTGAGGCCCCTCCTACCTGTGGATGATGAAGTTCTGGTGCAGGTACTGAAGTCCTCGGAGCACTTGAAGGACAATGCACTTGACCTACACAAAGGCAGAAGGCATCAGTTAAGGCGATACGTGTTTGGCGCAAATGTGGAGGTGCACCTGCTCCGCGGCCCCCAGCCTCACACCTGGGCCTCCGAGAACGGTGTCGGCATGTTCTCCAGAAGGCTGGCCAGGTCTTGCTCACAATAACCCATCACCAGAAAGATGCTGGAAGGAAAGGGGAAACACACGGAGGCTCGCACGTCCTCCTAGGCCACAGGACCCTCCCAGATTGCGGGAAGGACGAACTGTGCTTGGGGAAAGCACAGGGAGGGGACGGGCAGGGCGGGCTCAGCAGACTGCGTACCTCTCCAGGTGGTTCCCAACAACCACCTCCTTCAGCTCCACGATATTCGGATGGCGAAGGCGAAGAAGCAGTGTGATCTCCCGAAGGCTGCTGATGGGGACCCCTGCAGGCAGACCTGCAACTCAGCAACCCCCACCCCTGCACACCAGACCTGGAACTCAGAAACCCCCACCCATGCAACCAGACCTGCAACTCAGCAACCACAAGCCCAGCAGACAAGGACCCAAGCAACCAGACATGACCTCAGCAACCCCACCCCTGGAGACAAAGACCCCTGCAACCAGACCTGGCCTCAGCAACCCCCACCCCTGCAACCAGAACTGCAACTCAGCAATCCCCACTCCTGCACACAAGGACCCCTGGGACCAGACCTGGCCTCAGCAACCCCCAGCCCTGCACACAAGGGTCCCTGTAACCACAACTGGCCTCATGAACCCCCACCCCTGCATACAAGGTCCCCTGCAACCAGACCTGCAACTCAGCAACCCACACCCCTGCAGGCAGACCTGCAACTCAACAACCCCACCCCCACATCCAGGCCGGTAACTCAGCAACCCCCATCCCTGCAACCAGACCTATAACTTAGCAATCCACACCCCTGCAGACAGACCTGCAACTCAGCAACCCCAAGCCCTGAAGACTAGGACTCCTGAAATTAGACCTGCAACTCAGGATGCCCACCCCTGCACAGAAGGACCGCTGCAACCAGACCTGACCTCAGCAACCCGCACCCTGCAGACAAGGACCCCAGGAACTACACCTGAAACCCATCAAGCACCACTCCTCCAGACAAGGACCCCTGCAACCAGACCTGGCTTCAGCAACCCCCACCCCTGCAGACAAGGACCCCTGCAACCAGACCAGCAACTCAGGAACCCAACCGCTGCAGATGAGGACCCCTGAAACTAGACCTGTTACTCAGCAACCTCCACCCCTGCAGACAAGGACCGCTGCATCCAGACTTGCAACTCAGCAACCTCCAACCCTGAGAACGAGGACCCCTGAAATTAGACCTGCAACTCAAAACCCCCACCCCTGCAACCAGACCTGCAACTCAGCAGCCCCCACCCCTGCAGACAAGGACTCCTGAAACTAGACCTGCAAATCAGGAACCCCCACCCCTGCAGACAAGGACCCTTTACACTAGACCTAC